GATAGCTTGGGTGGAGATGGAGGTTTCTAGCGTGATGAAGCGGGAGTCGACGGAGCTGGTGCGGTCGGCGAAGACGCGGTCGCAGTCATCGAGACGGCGGTCGAATTTATCGAAGCGGGAGTTGAGCGCGTCAAGGATTTGCTTTAGGGAAGGTTCCATGGCGCCGCGAGCGCGATTGAGTCGGGTGTAGTGGTGGTGTAGAGTTGGGGCGGCGGAGGAGGGGGTGGCGGTGTCGGAATGGCCAGGATTGGAACTAGACGTCCGATACCAGGTGTTAGCACCTGACGACGCTGGGGAAGAAGAAAGTGTAGGAAGAATAGGAATTACAGTGATTGAGCTACTATGAATGATTAAAACTCAATTTAGGGTTTTACAATTTCTATTCTTGTCTTTCTCCCCATTCCTCTTTGCTACTTATACTATGTCTCCTAGTTGATCCAGGATGGACCAATCACCCACGAGCTGGGCTTCGTGACTCTCTTGGGCCGAATCGGTGGTGGGCCAGTAGGCAAGCTAGAAGTAGCAGCTTCTTCTTCAGGTGCCTGGCTAGCGCTGCTGACACCCTGGCCGCAGCGGCCGTGGCTGCGCGCGACTCGATGGTTCCTCCGCAAGCGGCAGTGGTGGACGCCCCTCGATGGCTCCTTCTCAGCGACCGATAGCCGCGCCCGTCTTCCTAGCAGTGACTCCTCTGCGCCCGCGTCTACCTCAGCGGCAGTCTTCTTTGCGCGCGCACGCCTACACGGGGCAAATCTGCCCTGTGCCCACGGATATGAGGAAGGAGCATAGGGAAGCTCTCCCATGTGCCGCAAGCTTTTTCACTTTTTGCTTCACGACGAAGACCAATGGTGGTGGCTTGCTGTGTTGAAGCAGGGTGGTTTGCGCACGTCTTCCTTGTGCGGCTCACGCATGGCAGGCGGCGACGCGTGTGGGATGGTTGACGGTGGCTAGCTGTGCAGGAGCAGGGTGGCCAGCAGCGGCTAGTGCGCGGCGGCATGCAATGGTTCGGCTTACACAGGACGGCCGATGGTAACTCGCGCGTGGAGGCCAACTATGTTGGAGCAGGACGTCTGAGCATAGGCTTGTAGGGCGGCCGGTGGCGACTCAGCGTTTTGCGCGCGACGTCCCAACGGTGGCTCAAGCTTGGTTTTTCAAGCACGCCGCACAAGATCCGTGTTTCGGTGGCCGCCGTCGTTCGCTTGTGCATGTAGCACTCCTTGATTTATGTGTCGGAATGTTCTATTCGACTCAGTCTAGATGTCCATGATGGTTTGATTTGGTGGGATGTTTTTTCCTTTGGTTTGATTTGGACCTGGATTAGATTGTCAGGATCGGATTTGAACGGTTGTAAGAGTCCCATTTGGAAGAGGAGTTTTTTTTCTTCCCATTTGTATTGGGTTCGAAGCAATTTTTTACCCGATCATCATCCTTATAAATAGCCGGATCAAAAAAAATCCAGACAAAAAAATCACCGGAAATTTTGCCTCTTTATTAATATAATAATAATAATAATAATAATAATAATAATAATAATAATAATAGGTATAGATAATTAATCGATCTTAAGATACTAAACCATGACACTGCGCTAGAATTGCATTCTTTTCTGAACTGAGAGAGTACAAGTTAATTGTGACTTCTGTCTTGTTCGCTTGAACTTATCAGCTTGCCTTATCAGCCGGTACGGTGTTTTTCTCTCACAATAAATCAGCTTCAGTCGGTTTATCAGCCACAGAAACCATCGGCCGAATAGCCAGATCGTTATCTAAAGGTGAAAAAAATCGAGTGCGTAGCGGATATAAAATACCATAGCAATAGATGTAACCCTATGAACACTTGTGAAAACCAATAATAATTAAAGCATGCTCAATCGTTACGAATACTATGTTGGCCTAACATAAAAGCTCCGGGGCTATCCATGTAGATGGGAGTGTCCATGCTAGACTTTTATTTCCCGCCATCGTACAAGAGTTACAAAAAACACATCTTCTCTCTCTTTGGACATGAAACATATACATGAATAAAGTTGACTAATACAGTGTCTTCTATGAAGACAAACAATATTCAAAATTAGAAGACACAAACATTCGTGATTATATGATACATTAACTTCTGCAAGTTCTAGCACTCCATGATGATAACGTTAGCATTCGGAAGCATGCTCTTCGTATATCTTTTCTAGCCATATATGTGCATGGGTCAGGGGGTCGCCGCTTGGGGGAGGGCAACCATGCATTGTCCTTTTCAATGATCACTAGTACACAAATGATTTTATGAGTCGGTGCCCTTTTATTAATCGAGGTATTTACAAAATCCAACCGTCTCGGTTAATACCTGACGATTAACGGAGGCGGTCGTTTTATTTACAGAGACACAAAAAAAAATGACAGCCTCACAAAATCGATTTTCGGAGGCAGTCGTTTTATTTACGGAGACGGTTGAAAAGTGCCCGCCTCAAAAATGATCTATTTTTTGAGGTTGTCGTCTTAAGGCGTCCGCATCCGTAAATCCATTTACGGAGGCAGAGATTTATAAGGCGTCCGCTTCAAAAAACAAACCAACACAACGCCCGGTCCCGGTCCCACCGCCCCCTGCCTCTTCTGCCATGCGCCTAGAGCCCAACGTCCACGCCCACCGTTTCCCGTGCGCGGTTTGAGAGAACTGCCGGCTGCGCCCCTTGTTTCAAGGAACCACCAACACATGGCAAGAGTCACTGGCCGCACCTCTTGTTGCCACACACCGGGCCACATGGATCATAGCCACACCGAGTGCACCATGGGAGCCGCGACATCCGTTCTGCTTCCGTGCGCGCGTGGATCGTTGACGTGGACGTATGCATAGTCCGATCGTTGGCCACATGGAGTCGTCTCCACCGTCGATGTGTTTGTGCTTCTTCACTAAGCATGACAAGCGGGCCCCACGTGACGTCAGTGCTCCCTCTCTCTGTCTGTTCCTATCCACCCAACTAGAGAAATATCTCTCCCTCTCTATCATCCTCGTGCTCCTCTCTCTCGTGTCTCGTGCCCAAGCGGCCCCTTCTTCCTCATCGCCAGCCCCCTTCCCCCTCATCGCTGGCCCCCTCCACCGCGCTCCCTCCGGTCACCCCCCGCGCCCTCCACCTTCACCTCCACCTCCGGGCGGCCCCTCCACCTGCACCTCGCTCCCTCCGCCTGGGCCCCTCCACCTCAACCTCTAGTGGCGCGGATCCAAGGAGACGACGAGCGGGGTTTCTAGCCCTGGCGGCGGTTCGCAAGGGCGCGGCCCCATCGGTGCTTCTCCTTAGCGGCAGCAGATCCGGCGGTGGGCATCTCTTTCGGCAACAGCACGGCGGTGGCGGGCCTCGGATATGGCTATCGTGGCTTGGATCCGGTGGGCGGCAGCGGCGGTGCGTCGCTGGGCTCGCCAGGCTCATCGATGGATTTTTTCTTTTTTCTTTTTTTTAATTTATTAACAGAGGCAGACGTTTTAGGACAACCGCCTACGTTAATAGATATTAACAGATGCGGTTGTATTAAGGCGCTCGCTTCCATTATCCATTAACCGAGGCGGGCAAAACAACCGCCTCCGTAGGTCTCCATCAACGGTGACCTTTGATTGGAGGCGGTTGCAATGCCCGCCTCCATAAATCAACTTCGCCCGCCTCCATTAAGCATTATGTAGTAGTGGATGGACCCCAGGGATAGAGCTAGCACCATGGATAAAATAATATATGTTAAAAGTTCTGACAAGAACAAAGGATAACAATATATTTTTCTTCAAAAAGTAACTGATAAGAAATTTGTCAGGCATGTAATTAATATAGAAGGAGTGTCTTACAACAACAATATACAACAAATTAATTAAAAAACAAACCACTCATACGAAAAAGGCGACAACACAGCAACGCACTACCAGCGTATCCAGCAAAGCACTGAAAATAACGCCACCCCACACGCACCAAGCACGAGAGAGAGTCGGTGTTGAAGGAGGTTATCCACGACGATGCCTTCAAGGAGGGAAACGACATCCACGAATGCCATCAATGCTGGTAGAAGTTTCTAGCACAAGTTTTTTTTCCAACTAAAACCGCCCCAAAATAGGGGAAGTGCCCTCACGACAAATCCTCCGACAAGGGACGTGAGGCCCAAGGCGTCACCATTGTTATCCTCAACAACAAGTCGAGCAGGACCTTTACCCAAAAATCACTCGCCCCACAACCCACACACCCACACCAATTCGAGAGCCACTGTTTAAAACCGAACAGGTTGTCGCTAAGGGAGACAAGACGATGGAGATTTTATACACACGTAATTAATGATAATTGGTACATAGGGTATACTCCCTCCATACTAAAAAAAAAAAAGTCGTTTTGGATAGCGACACGGTCTCCAAAGCATAACTTTGACTACTTATTTTTATAAAGATATTTATCAAAAAGTGATATATGTAAATTTTTGTGAAAGTATTTTTCAAGACAATTCTATACATGTGGTTTTCACATTTCCAAACTCAACAACTAAAAAGTTATTCATGATTTATATTTCTAATGTTTGACCCAAGCATGGTTTAAAACGACTTTATTTTTTAGTACGGAGGTAATACATATTACACACGCTATAACGATAGTGGCACATAGGGGGCATGAAATTAGAACCAACATACGGCAAGAAAGGAAAGCTACTTTTTACATTGGCAAGAAGGGCTATGCCTATGCGTATAGCTTTTGATTGAATATAAGTTTTACTCATATCGAAACTTCACATGCACACATGTACCAGCTTTTGATTGAATATAAGTTTTTACTCATATCGAAAAACACTTCACAAATTTACGATCGCAGCACCAGTTGAACAAAAGAAAAAGGTTGGAATGTTCCACGTGAGAAAATAGTACTTCATCTGTTCTAAATAATTAGACGTTTTTTTTTGAATAATAGGGAAGGGGGGAAAAGGTTGAAATCACATACAACTATACAAGCAAGAGGAAGCAGAGAGAGCAGGAGGAAGAGGGAGCAGAGGCATTGGCTAGATGTTGTTGTGTTGTCGTCTGAGCCTGGATGATAACTGGGAGCAGATGCTGAGGTAGGGAAGCTGCGGCCCTGATGTCCTGTTCAGATGCACCAAGTACTGAGGATGTGGATGTCCATGTCCTCCTTCTCCTTCATCTTGTTCTTGTTGTGAATTATCATTATCATTATCATTGGCGGTGCCTTGTTGGAATTCCCCTGTGGTCTTGTACACCTGCATGCATTGCATGTCAAATCATGAAGGAATACAGTCAGTCGTCACTCGTCAGTTGGTTGTAAAATCATCCATTTGTGCTCTATTCTACTAATATATGGAGGCGATGCAACCAATGCAATGCAACCGACCTGAATCTCGAAGAATACTGCGGCCGACAAGCTGTCAAGTATGTCGTTGTTCATCTCCACGCCGTCGGCTGCTGCGGGGCCGGGGACGACGACGTCAGCGCGGCACCTGATCCGATGGCGGCGTCTATGGTAGGAGACAATGGGTATGCCCAGCTCCTCCAGCGTGGCGGCGATGCGCTGCATGGTCAGGCGCGGGCAGTCGTGGAGGAGCACGCCGCCGTCCAGCAGGCCTCCGAGCGCCCACTGCGGTTGCCGGTGCCGCTGCTGTGGCGGCGGGGGGCGCATGGACAGGTACCGGGTGTCCGCGTCGGACATGCTGGCGAGGACCAGCTGGTACGCGACCGCCTCCTCGTCCTCCTGGTGCTGCTGGTGGTGTTGCCGGCGCAGAGACTCCAGCAGGGTGCTCCTGTCGAAGCCGTGGCCCGTCACCAGCTGCTCGACGGCTGCCGCGTCGACGCCGACCTGCACCATGGATGCTGCGTCCGGTGGTCGCATCGCCAGGTACGCAGGCATGTCCGCCGGCCGAAGCCAGTGGTGCGCCATGACCTCGGCCATGGTCATCCGCTTGCTGGGCCTGACGATGAGCATCCCCACGATGAGGTCTCGCGCGTCGTCCGACACCCAGGACGGCACCCTGTACTCGCCGCGCCTGACGTTCCTGGCGAGCTCGGAGATGTCGTCGTCGCCGTCGAAGGGCAGTCCGCCGCAGAGCATGCCGTAGAGGATGACGCCGCAGCTCCAGACGTCGACCTGGGGCCCCTCGTAGCAGCTGGTGTCGCCGCCGAACAGCTCGGGCGCCGCGTACAAGCGGCTCCCCATCTTCTTGCGCATGGGCTTGTCGTCCGTGTAGACCTTGCTGAAGCCGAAGTCGACGACCTTGACGATGATGTTGTCAGGCAACATCATGAGCAGGACGTTCTCCATCTTGAGGTCCCGGTGCGTGACCATGTTGCGGTGGCAGAAGAGCACGGCGGCGGCCAGCTGGCGGAAGATGGTGCGGGCCTGCTCCTCGGGCAGCCTCCCCTGGAGGACGACGTGGTCGTGGAGCTGGCCGGACTCGGCGAGCTCCATGACGATGTAGGTGTGGGCGTGGGTGGCCATGGCCTCGTAGAAGCGGATGACGTGGGGGTGGTGGCCCTGACTGAGCAGGCGCATCACGCGGATCTCCCGCGCGATCTTGTCGGTGGACAGGCCCTGGGCCAGCATCTTGGCGTGGGAGATGATCTTGATGGCCACCTTGAGGCCCGTGCGCCGGTGCCTCGCCTCCCACACCTTGGCGAAGCTGCCCTTGCCTCGCAGACTGTGCAGCTCGTACCTCTCGCGCAGCGCCGCCTGGTGGCGCTGCTGCGACGCCGCCGCCGCCGCCGCCGCCGCCACGGACGGCCTGCTGCTGCTGCTGTTGCTGCTGCATGCAACGCCTCCGCCTGTTGCTTGTTGCTGCCTGCTGCTGCTGCCATGGATCGATCGGAGCAAGGAGAGGCTCTTCTGCTTGTTAGGTGTTGGCAGCAAAGCAAAGCAAGCTAAGGATCGATCGGAGCCAGTATTAGCATACTAGCAGGGTGATCAATTGAATTGAGGGAGATGGAGGAGGAGGCGATAGCGGGTGGGTGTGCAGGGTGTTATAACGGCGGCTACGACGTGCTGCAGTTGCTATTGCATTTGCATCCTACTACGTTGTACGGAGTACGTGGAAAACAAGGGAGTAGAACACAGGTGGATCCACGTCCGTCCGTCCGTCGTCCGGGCCAGCGCGCGGTCGATCGGTCGGTCCAAACGATGCTGCACTACGTGACTATGACTATCTAAGAGAAGAGAGCGACCCCTGCTTATTATTATAGTATCTCGTATCCAAACAAACAAATTTAAACAAACTAGTACATACGGACGTAACGAACGCACTCCACTAGGTAAAAGAAAGGTACAGGTACCGCTAGCTCTTGTTTAGTGTGCTGCGTGCGGGCTGTAATTTCCATTTCCTTGCCTTTTTCTTCCATCTTTCGATGATATTTATGGAGATATCCATCGTCGTTTCCAACATACATATGCATGCATCATACGATATCATGGACACATGCCTGCCAACTACACACTTAACGTCGTCATGCCATTTGTCATATGCTCGCCACACGCTAAACTACACCACCACCACTACTACTATATAGAGTATGCTTGTCATGCATCTCACCCACCACAAGCATTCTTTCTTCTACTTCCTCGATGCCTTACGTCTTGCCTAGGTCAGATGGTGGTTAGCTGGTTAATAAATCACGACTAATATTAGCTACCTACTATATATGCATTACTTTTTTCTCGAATACACAAAAATTTGCATATTATTATATTAAATAGAAGAGTTTAAAGACAACGCGCTTTTATCGAGCGTCAAAGGAGGTCGACCTAAAATAGCCATAGCTGGACCATCCTAGGAAAAAAACCTCTAGTTTCGCAGGACGAAAGTGGCGGCGCGGCAATAATAGGCGTGCTTGTGAACTTGTCACAGCCTCACGGGAAGGTGTTCGTTCTTGAGATCTATGGAGGAGTACGATTTTAGTTCGGTTAACAAATCCAATGTCCGAATCGAACACAACACGTACATAAGGAAGCGATTTGGTTCGGTTTAGATTAGACTTTAGACAGTAGTAGTATATATCCCAATACGTCTTAAAATCCGACTCCGTATCGATCATCTATCCGGTAGTTAGAAGGAGGTGGACAAAAAAATATCCAAAAATTTTGTCTTTTTATTATTAGGGATAGATATGCACCTATTTGTAGAATCCAATTGAGTGAAATTCATCACAGGTCCTTGAAGTTGCCTGTAGGTGTCGTATAGACCCCCAAAGTCTCAAAATACATATTTGGATCCTTGAAATTAGTTCAGGTCTTATCTAGGTCCAAAAGGTATTTACCCAACCCGATAGCTAGACGTGGCATGCTGACTCAGCGCGCTTACATGTCCACACATCAGCAGCTAGGCTTTAATCTTAGAAAAATCATATCTTTTTCATATGACCTCGAACAAAGATGGTTTTTATATAAAAATTGTAGCCCTCGACGAGATTTATAACTTTCTAGTTTTGTGTTTGTCATTTGAGGTCGTTAAGATGATAAAAAGTAATATAAAGTTTCAGCTGCATATTAATCATGTACAAAGCTTATCAGATTAGAAAAATATATATATTTTTTATATGTTGTCACTTTGTATATAAAACTTGTAGTGCTCGATGAGATCTACAACTTTCTAGTTTTAAAGTTTTTCATTCAAGATCGTTAAGATGCTAAAAAAATATTATAATGTTTCGGCAATATATTAATCGCGTACCAAACTTGTCGCCTTAGAAAAATCATATCTTTCTTGTATGGTATCGGATAAAGGTACTTTGTCTATGATAATTGTAGCGCTCAATGATATCTATAACTTTCTAGTTCTGAGGTTTTTTTATTTAAGATCGTTAAGATGATCGTAGTAGGCACCCGGAGCCCCTACTGCTTTGCCTCCATATGTCGCCTCCACTCCTTCTATTGCTTATACCAAGCCACTACCGCTCATCAACATAGAGAAACAAGTACCGAGCATCTTAACCGACCGTGGTCGTTGCACCTGTTGATGCACGGGATCCACCAGCTGAGCATCTTTCCTAGCCACGACAGCCATGCATACCCATTCATTGTTGTGCTCATCGCCCTAGTCATCTTCTGTCTACCTTCTCGCGACGAAGGTTGGCAAGGAGGAGAGCAGCAACAGAGACCAACAAGGAAAAGGAGCAACACGCAACAACACTCTTGAATTGGAATGGAGGGAGGCAAGCACCATGGCGACCAGAATGGACAGAACCAACACTCGGTGCTAGCAGAGGGAGGTGAATGCCGTGTTGGCGTAGGCGAATGAGGTGAGCAACACAAGGAGATGGAGTCGTTAGGGGTAGCAGTGTCTCCAACTAAGAAGGGAAGGGACAAGATCGGATAGTGGAAGGGTATTTTGGTCATTTTATCCCTATTAGTTATTGTTATATTAGCTACTCCCTCCGTCCCTTTATCTATGTCGTTTTAGCTTCTGAGGAGGTACAACACATATTCTGTGAATGTAGACAGAGGGGGGGGGGTCCAAATGCATGCATGGCAGAAGGAGTGAATGCACCCTCAAATGCCATGCCATAGCGACAGCCAATATGGGACAGAGGGAGTAGGTTGGCAAACTAGTGATGAGGCAGTTATTAGCTAGATCCCTAGCTAGCAATTGGCTGAGCCGCTTGGATCCAATGTGTCAGTGACCTGGTCTTCAGGCGCATGATAGATAGGCTAGTTAGTTCCTGAGCCACCGGCTCCTAACTGTAATTCCTATTCTTCTATACACGACTCCTAGCATGTAGGCGTGAGGGATGACCATGATCTCTGGATCGGCCTCCAGTGCTTCGGCACCTCTATATGTAACAGCATACGGTGATGAATGGAACTTGAGCATTCTCCCAATTTCCCACTCTTACATCTCTTACATGGTATCAGCTTTCTTCTTGATCCACCTCCCCTCTTCTGCTGCTTCTAGCCATGGTGAGGCTGACTGGTTCCATCTCCTCTGCTGCCACCAATCCATTCGCCTCGGCCATTGATCCTGCTCCACCCATAGCCTCCGCCCTTGTTCTCCTCAACATCCATAGCCACGTTCCTGTCAAACTGTCTGCGGATGAAGGAAACTTCCATCAATGGCGTTCCTTCTTTGAACTCATGTTCAAGAAGTTTGGGCTTGTCAATCATATCGATGGCATAGTCACCGCCGCCGCCATGAGCGACGACCCAGAGTGGCTGCAAATTGATTCTTGCATCGTCTCCTGGCTCTACTCCACCATCTCCAAGGAACTCTGGAACGATGTCAACAAGCCACGCACCTCCGCGTACACTGTGTGGACGGCCATCACCGGCCTCTTCCTCGACAACAGCCTGCAACGTGCTATCTATGCGCATTAGGAGTTCCATAGCCTCTTCCAAGGTGACATGTCCATGAGCGAGTACTGTGGCCGCCTCAAGCGCCTCGCCGACACGCTCTATGACTACGACGTCGCCGTCTCCGATCCGGCGCTCATCATCAACACCCTACGTGGCCTGAATAACAAATTCAGTCAGGCCATCACAGTCCTCTCCACCATGACGCCGCCGCCGATGTTCCTCTACACGCGCTCCTATATGGTGTAGGAGGAGAACCGCATCCGCCACTCCCTCCAGATGGAAGCGCAGACAATGCTCTTGGTGGTGAGTACTGCCTCTACACCACCGAGGTCGATAGTTTCCAACCCTCCCCAACAACCGCCTGCCTCTGGTAGCGGCGGTGGTGATCGCCACAAGAAGCGCAAGGCGTTCGACAACAATCGTGGCCGTTCACCTGCGTCCGGTGGCAATACTTCCTCGATCGGCGCCAATCTCGCACCGCCTCCTGCTGGAGCGCAGTGGGTGACCTCCTACAACCCTTGGCAAGGGGTCGTTCAGGCATGGCCGCTACACACATGGCGCCCCGGCGTTCTCAGCTCTCATCCGAAGTTCAACCGCCTCAGGCGCTAGCCGCCGCCCCCGCCTCCACAGGATGCGTCCTCAATTCCACCGGGACTCTACTCGGCACTCAACAACCTGTCCCTCCACAACTCTGCATGTGGTGGAGGTGACTGGTTCCTGGACACCGGCGCGATGTCACACATGGCCGCCAATCCTGGTATTCTTGCCACTCACTCTGCCTCTACTGTTCCCCACCAGATTGTTGTCGGCAATGGGCACACTCTCTCTGCCCAGTGCACTGGACGCGCCATCATTCCTACAGATTCCTCTCCTTTACAATTGCACAACGTCCTGATTGCTCCTTAGTTAGTAAAGAACTTGATTTCTAATCGCGCACTAACTTGTGATAACTCTGTCTCTGTTGAATTTTATCCTTGGGGTTTCTCCATTAAGGATCTTCAAACCAGGATGGCTTTCCTCCGATGTGATTCTTTGGGTGAGCTCTACCCTCTACGTACTCAGCCTGGTGCTCCTTCATCATCGCAGGCGCTCCTCGCTTCCGTAGACACACCGCTCTAGCACGCCCGGCTCGGTCACCCTGGCCATGCCATGCTTCAGCAACTTTCTCGCCGTGTTGGTTTTTCCTGTTCCAAGTCTAGCAACCATACATGCCATGCCTGTCGTCTAGCCAAGCATGTACGGCTGCCGTTTAGAGAGTCCAATAA